CCGCTCTTCTTTTGTTTGTGTCTCTGAGCTTTTCTGCATTGCTCCAGCAGCCGATCGGACATTCCATTTCATTTCCGGGGGGGAGGAGGGGTGCTTGCTGGAGGATTTGCATTGACTGTCCAAGTTAGATCCAAAGTTTGTGTGTGGTGGGGGCGGAGAGAACAGCACATGGGGCATGTGAAGAGCATGAGGAAGACTGCTTCTCGGGGCACAGGGTGAGAGAGTGAGACCAGAGGAAGGAAGGAAAGAAAGATTCGGACATTCCATTTCATTTCCGGGGGGGAGGAGGGGTGCTTGCTGGAGGATTTGCATTGACTGTCCAAGTTAGATCCAAAGTTTGTGTGTGGTGGGGGCGGAGAGAACAGCACATGGGGCATGTGAAGAGCATGAGGAAGACTGCTTCTCGGGGCACAGGGTGAGAGAGTGAGACCAGAGGAAGGAAGGAAAGAAAGATGGGGAAAGAATGAAGGAATGGGAAAGAGAGAGAATCGGCTCCGTTGCCTGGCTCAGTTTAATATTATTTCCAGCTGTCGGGAGGAAACTCGAACCTGCCAGTGCTCTCGGCAGACACAGGGGATCCCAGTCCAGGGTCAGGTTCAACATTCCACATCTGCTACAGTGGGAATTCTGCTGAGCCACATCCCCCGCCCAAAGCTAGGGCACTCCCTCTCCGGAGTCACATGCCCTGGGGTGGGTGAGTCCTGGGTCCACAGTGTCTGTTTCTCCAGGCTCTATGATACTTGTAAGGAAGCAGCTGGCCTGGGAGGTCTCTGGCTCTTGGTCGGGGGAAGCAGGGCAGGAGGAAGCAGCATGGAAGGAACCAGGAGGCATGCAGCGACTGGCACTCCTGAGGTGTCCAGCGCTATCCTCCACCTGGGAACTTGGCGAGCCATTGGTTTGTGTAGCTCCCCATCTTCCTTGCATCCTTATTAAGTTTGCAGATGATACCAAGTTGGGAGGGGTTGCGACTGCTCTGGAGGATAGGGTCATAATTCAAAATGACCTGGACAAATTGGAGAAATGGTCTGAGGTAAACATGATGACGTTTAATAAAGACAAATGCAAAGTGCTCAACTTAGGAAGGAACAATCAGTTTCACACATACAGAATGGGAAGCGACTGTCTAGGAAGGAGTACGGTAGAAAGGGTATGTCTACACTACCCTCCTAGTTCGAACTAGGAGGGTAGTGTAGACATACCCTTTCTACCGTACTCCTTCCTAGACAGTCGCTTCCCATTCTGTATGTGTGAAACTGATTGTTCCTTCCTAAGTTGAGCACTTTGCATTTGTCTTTATTAAACGTCATCATGTTTACCTCAGACCATTTCTCCAATTTGTCCAGGTCATTTTGAATTATGACCCTATCCTCCAGAGCAGTCGCAACCCCTCCCAACTTGGTATCATCTGCAAACTTAATAAGGATGCAAGGAAGATGGGGAGCTACACAAACCAATGGCTCGCCAAGTTCCCAGGTGGAGGATAGCGCTGGACACCTCAGGAGTGCCAGTCGCTGCATGCCTCCTGGTTCCTTCCATGCTGCTTCCTCCTGCCCTGCTTCCCCCGACCAAGAGCCAGAGACCTCCCAGGCCAGCTGCTTCCTTACAAGTATCATAGAGCCTGGAGAAACAGACACTGTGGACCCAGGACTCACCCACCCCAGGGCATGTGACTCCGGAGAGGGAGTGCCCTAGCTTTGGGCGGGGGATTAGAGAAGTGGAGAAATTGGAGAGGGTCCAGAGAAGAGCAACAAGAATGATTAAAGGTCTAGAGAACATGACCTATGAAGGAAGGCTGAAAGAATTGGGTTTGTTTAGGTTAGAAAAGAGAAGATTGGGGGGGGCATGATAGCCGTTTTCGGGTATCTAAAAGGGTGTCATAAGGAGGAGGGAGAAAACTTGTTCATCTTAGCCTCTGAGGATAGAACAAGAAGCAATGAGCTTAAACTGCAGCAAGGGAGGTTAAGGTTGGACATTAGGAAAAAGTTCCTAACTGTCAGGGTGGTCAAACACTGGAATAAATTGCCCAGGGAGGTTGTGGAATCTCCATCTGTGGAGATATTTAAAAGTAGGTTAGATAAATGTCTATCAGGGATGGTCTAGACAGTATTTGGTCCTGCCATGAGGGCAGGGGACTGGACTCGATGACCTCTGGAGGACCCTTCCAGTCCTAGTATTCTGTGATTCTATGATTCTGTCCTGCGCCTTGCCAGCCACCCAGTGCAGGCAGTGGAAGGGAAACACATGGTGCTGTGAGACAAAGGAGCTGGTGGGGGCCATCGCATGGCAAGTAATGGAGCTTTTGGAGGGGGGCTCCCACAACCCCTCAGTCACAGTGACCCCCCCCCCATGATGCTTCAGCAGCATCAGGTGGTGGGTAGGAACGGCCCCATGAGAGTCCCCCTGGGGTGGCACGAAGGGTCTGGCCCCACCCAGCTGGAATGGCCTGGGTCTTGCCTGTTCTCCGCTTGCTGGGATCATAGAGGCACTACGAGGAGCAGAGCATAGAACAGAGCAGCCTCAAGGCTGCTCTAACTGACCCTGGAGCCCTAGAATATGAAGAGTGCAAAGGTGGCTCCAAGTCTTCTGCCCTGGTGCAGGTCGGGAGCTGACTGAGAATCAGGCCCTAGACTCCCAGCTCTCACTCCATAGAGCTCTCAGGGCAACAGGGTGGGTGTCTTGTTAATGGGAAGATGCTGAAGGGAACTGAGGCTATGTCTATAGAGCAGCATTACTGATGTTATTCTAAAATAGCATGGTCTGGGTCTGCACCGCAAGCCGTTATTTCTACATAATGTCGAGTGGACTTCAAACTCTGACTCCCATAACCCTCATTTCACAAGGAGTATGGGAAGTCGGAGGAAGAGGGCTCTAACTCGGACTTCCTGCTGTGTAGACAGCGCCAAAAGCCGAAACAAGCTACTTTGATTTAAGCTACACAATTTGACATAAAGCTTATTTCAGCCTGCTATGCAGACGTGCCCTAAGAGACCAGCCAGAGAAATAGGGAGGGGAGGGAAGTAAAAACTGGCTCTGTTAGAGAGAGAGAGAGGCCACGACAAGGGTCCGCCAGCAGAGAGATGGATTCATTGTGTGCTGTAACCAGGATCCAGCTGCAGAAAATTTCCCAAGGTAATCTTGGGGGGGAGGTAAACTGAGGCACGGAGCAGGGATGGGACTTGCCCAAGGCCATCCAGCAGAGCAGTGGCACAGGTGGAACCCAGGTTTCCAGATTCCCAGGCCAGGCATGGAGCCAAGCTGCTCCAGTGTAGAGCTGGCTGCGTGATGGTTGCCTAATTCACTCCCTTCCAAGAGTTGCTTTGAGCTGCTTGCTTTCCCGTCTCTTGTGACCTCGCCTTGGCGGAAGGGGGCCCACTGGAGTGATGTAGCAGGTGGTGTGCACAAAGGGGCAGAGGCTGTCGAGCCTACCAGACATCTAGCTGGTGTGCAGGAGGCAGTGTGGAGCAGTGCTTAAAGTCGGGTAGGGGTGTCAGACCTCTGGGTTCTCGTGCCAGCTTTCCCCAGGGCTGGCTGGACCTCGGGGAGTTGCTTCTCCTCCCTTGTTCTTTGCAAAGCTGGATGGAAAACAAACATTTTTGCTGCAATATTTGCTGTTATTCATCAGAATTCAAAATGGAAACCGTGCTGCGGGTGGGCATGGAGGGGCCCCAGCAAAGCAGCAGGGAGAAGGGAGTGTGTACAGCGACCACCCCCCCCCCCCCCACGCCATGGTGCCTTTATGGTTCTGACACTGGCTTATTTTCCACGTCACACGTCTTTGTTGTTTTCCAAAAAAACTGCTTCTGGGGCGATTGGTTGTGTAACAAATGGTGCTTTGCCACTGGGATGGCAGCTCACCAGGGCCCGGGCGCTCTTCCATGGCTTCCTGCTGGCAAATTGGCTCAACACCCGCTTCGCTGCTTCTGGAGGCATCTTCCTCCAGTTCTGACACTGGCTTATTTTCCACGTCACACGTCTTTGTTGTTTTCCAAAAAAACTGCTTCTGGGGCGATTGGTTGTGTAACAAATGGTGCTTTGCCACTGGGATGGCAGCTCACCAGGGCCCGGGCGCTCTTCCATGGCTTCCTGCTGGCAAATTGGCTCAACACCCGCTTCGCTGCTTCTGGAGGCATCTTCCTCCAGGGAGAATTGCTCTGTGCAGGTGTGGGAGGAGAGGGCAGCAGGGAGCAGGACACTGACTCCTGAGCTGGGTGTCATAGGATCTGGCATCAAGGGACCATTGTGGTCATCTAGTCTGACCTCCTGGGTTCCCGCGCACCGTTACTTCCGGTTTGGACCAGAGCAGATCCATCCCGTCTTGATTTAAAGGGGACCAGGGGATGGAGAAGCCACTGTGATCCTTGGTCACCATTGTACCTGGTCACTCCAAACCACAGCCAAGACTGGGTGGTGTTCCTGTCTCAACTACTTCGGCAGAAGTACCGGGCGCTGGCAGGAGTCCCAGGATCAGGGAGCATTCATGTTCGTCCAGGTTCTGCACATTTCCATCTGGGGTTGTACCCTGGCTTCCACTCAGTCAGACTGTTGCTGGTCTTTGCCGCCGCAGCTCACTTGCACCGCAGTTTCTATCCAAGACCAGCGTTGGGAGGGAGGTGTTTTGAAAACACCAGCTTCTCTGTGGTTCTCGGCACCGTCCTGGCCATTGAAAATGTGACCCTGCTTTCCTGTCAGAATTTGTCTAGCTTTGTCCCATAGGAGGCGCCCAGCCGGAGCAGATGAAACAGACTCTACACGGCAGTGTTATTTCGGAATAACTGGTGTTATTCTGAAATAACACAGTCTGCGTCTACACTACAAGCGGTCATTTCGACGTAATGTCAAAATAATGTCGAGCGGGAAGACTTCTTACTCCAACTCCTGTAACCCTCATTTTACGAGGAGGCCGGGAAGTCGGAGGAAGAGGGCTCTAATTCAGACTTCCTGCAGTGTAGACAGCGTCAAAAGCCGAAATAAGCTGTTTCAACTTCAGCTACGCAATGGATGTAGCTCAAGTTGCGTAGCGTTTTTCGGCTGTAGCCCTGCTGTGTAGACATGACCCTTTTTTGAGTTATTTTCCTTGTCCCATGTTACACACCAAAGGGGGAGCGTCACCACTTAGACTGTCAGCTCTTTGGAGCAGAGACTGTGTTTGTACAGCACCTAACACCCTGGAGTCCTGCCCCATAGTGAGAGCATCTACTGATCCATAGCACCGCCCTCCCTGTCCCAGATAGAGGTGCCAGTGTAGACAGAGACTAAGACAGAGACTGGAGCCCAAGTGTAACAAGGGCTTTGAGGATCTGAGTGGCACCGAAATTTTGGACTTGGGTGCCTAAGGGTATGTCTACACTACCCCGCTAGTTCGAACTAGGAGGGTAATGTAGGCATACCGCACTTGCAAATGAAGCCCGGGATTTGAATTTCCCGGGCTTCATTTGCATAAACTGGGCACCGCCATTTTTAAATCCCTGCTCGTTCGAACCCCGTGCCGCGCGGCTACACG